GCGCTGTCAGATAGTGGGCAGGATCTAGTTTATATTGTTGCATGCATACTTTTCTGAAATTCTCAAACACGTCTGCTAGCAGCAGACAATCGGATTTTAAATATAAATCGGCGTAATCTCCCAATGTTTTACATTCGAAGGTATTCCACACATCTATGGCTCTATTATAATCAATGTCTGAAAGTGATTCGCCGGTTAAATCATTATGGAACTTCTCTTTCGACGGTAGCTGGGTTTCCTCCAATTTTTCCAAGGAGTCCACATAGTTGTAAGGAAAAACCCCTTTCTGTCTTATTAGATCAAATTGTCTGCTACCTTGGAAGTATTTTCGAACCTCGTTACACTGTTGCACCTCCAAATTTTTGCTGAGTTTATCGAGAGATTTTGGTAAAAATCGAAAAGAGTCTACAAATCTCAACTGAATATATTCATCAAATGCTCTGGACACTTCAGATTTATCAACCAATATTGACTTTGAGAACGAAATATACTTTTCTTTAGTTTGGGCTATCACTGATATTTTTTCTCCTTTCGTTGCTAATTTCTTGATGAAAAGGTGAGAGTCATAATTTGTGAGGTTGTGAAAGAATACAGGAATAGTTTTCGAGGTCTTGTAGTTCAAATTACAAATACTATGGGCGGCTGCGCGGAACTTCCCTGTGTAGTGGCAGTGATCACGAACTTTGATATCTGTTGGCTTGAACGGCTTCTCACATATATGGCACGTGGTGCTATTTTGGAAAGTTTGCTTCTCTATCTCAGTAAGTGGATGCATTTCACGAACGTCCTTCATGTGATTAGTGTATAAATCTTGAACGGTTTCATCCAATTTTCTCACAAAAACGCCGGCAGCATCAGCACCGCGATAAAGTACCGACCTTGAATAACGGTCATCTAAATTACACTTTACATAAAACGCGAACGAATATGGTTCATGTTCACATACTTTAACTGAGAATGATTTCTCGTCACAGGGTTCATTGTGTTGAATTGGTTTGAGTAAACTTTCAAAGTCAGCATAAATCACAAACGGTGGTGGCAATTGTTTTTCAAAGTTAGTGAATTTGAGGATGTTCTCAGGCACTGACTGACCATATTTATTGATTTTTAAATTGGTGGTGGGTATCTTTGTGCTCATATGATTGCAATCATTTTCCTCATGGCTTCTCAACTGCTCCACTGTAGCGAACGATTGTAGACATCCATCGCAAATATATATTTTACCATTGCATTTCGATTTTTGTGTTTTCACTAATTTGCCCAGGTCCTTGATGAGACAGTAATGTGTATTGCCAACCTTATCGGCTATAAGCAATAAATTCACATGTGTTGCTTGACGACACGAAGTGAAATGTAGAGGTCCAATTATCTCATTTATCATCTTTCCATCCTTGAAAGACGATTCAAGACCGAACACATTAACTGAGATATTGTTGAGTCGCTCGAACTTTGGGATATCCTTCAATTTCATGGGAAAGTCGAGTCCTTGGAAATTCAACAAAGTATTGTAATGTGGATATGATGACGTTCTTATTGGATGATCGTCTGCACGAAAAATCGCAGCATTGATGGACCATGCGAAGCAGGCTCTGTCCTTATTTTGAATATTCAAAACCGCATTCTTGGATTCTATAGCTCTGGGCAGCTTGATGTATGAAGAGGCCGAAATTGATGAGAATTTATTAATATTCACATCCAAAAACATGGCATGTTTCAATATCCACCCAGAATCCCGTTCTTGAAACTCTGACGCCTTCACAATCATTTCTTCCTTGAAGTCATCATAATGGTGCTCAATGTTTGATGATTTTGTCAGGGTTTTATTTCTGGTGTTGAAGGACTTAATATCAGATAGTACCTTCTCTGGTATGACATACAATCCAAAAAGTTCCAAATTTATCTTCAAGCTATGATGAGTCCCCAAATATTCGGTCAGAACTGCCAGAACTTTTGGTTTCACTTCCTGCAAAAATTCGCGAAGATCGGTGAGGGCTTTGTCACTGGAAAATCGATAGGTGGCTATCCTGTTCTTGAGAGCACAACGAAGTTTCACTATCCCATCCCCCAAATTATTTTCAACAGGTTGATCTACTCTTTTTCGCTTTTCAGCACCCTGAGTATTAGGTTCCTGCATAGGAAAATAGTTGAACAATGTGTTGTTCGAAGTAGATGCTTGCTGATTGTCCGCACTATTGGGCTTTATCTTCTTGGCCGGTGGTCCATTCACATCCCGATTATTCCTGCAATTTTTGCGTACATGCCGGAATAAAGAGCTCGTTGAAGAAAATTCATTGCCACAATAACCGCACTTCATTATCACTTAGTGAACTCGAACGTGTTGAAGAAACGTATGAACTAAGACTAGCTAAAGACTGAACTAGAATAAACTTGAGGACTGAGGCTCGCTCAAGACTGAACTAAAGTACGCTGGCTCTTACCCGATTTCATATCGTTCAGTAGAGGGGTACCCGCATGCGCATCCGCTGCCCGCATGTTTTTGCGGATGAGTCATCTATTAACCAGCGAATACGTCATACCCGCATTTATCGAAACTAGATGTCTAGACGAGTCTGAAATGGAAATAAAACATCTGGTGCATATCTTTGTGAACACGTCATACCCGCATTTAGAGAGAACATCTGCCACCTGCATTCAGAGATGAATCATTCATCGAAAAACATCTGCTACCCACATGTTTGCGAAAACAAACATCTGGTACCCGCATCTGCTGCCCGCATTATTCTGATGACTCATACTATACCTGCATTATTCGGATGACTCATACTATACCCGCATCATTGTGATGACTCACGCTTTACCCGCATATAAGTGAATTAGACGGAGTGCACGTGTTCTCAAGTACTTAATGGTTAATGAATTAGATCATGCTTTCCTTCATGTGGTGATTGATTAATTAGGGGGAATTAAATGGAGTGCTCTGATTGGCTGTCTGATGCCGTGATGCCTGGTCCAGCTTTCCTAATATATATCTACTCTGTTTGATTGCATGAATCCAATCTTCTTGCATTCTTTCAGAAATTTCACGAGTATTTCTATTAGCTCCTATTGCAGAAGGAATTCCGATGAGAAATCAGAGAAATAACCAAATTTCAAAATGAAAACTATATGTGAGTGACTATAGTAGGTACTTAATTTCAAATCATAATGTACCAACCGGATTTCTTCGTCTCTCGCTGCATTTTTTGTGCATTGTACAACAGTACAATGAGATGGCATGCGCGAAATAATAAATAGCCGAAATTCACGATTCGTATGCCAAAATAATTGTAAAAAACTATTTCAATTATCGTTTTTTTTTTTATGTTCTGGTTCCCATGAAAAGGGATATCCTGTAATGTTCAGAGAACATCGTGAGAACCAAGGGAAATAAGGTAGGAATTGGTGTTCTTCTTGAATCTTCTGAGGGTTATTATGCCTAGGGGAACAAATAAGAAAAGTGAGGTTGTGTCCAGGGTCGGTTACCTGACAGTTCTTGCACGCAACCCATACCTATACAGGGTGTTTCTTGGAAATATGTCAAAAATCGAAATAGTTTTATTTCTATCATACAGAATCTAAAACAAAATAGTGTTTCTTGATCTTCAAGAAAAAAGAACTGCAAATTCTTGTAGAAATTGAAGCATTTCAGTTTTTGCCTTTGAAGGTCCAGAAGTCTGCAAGAGTTTGGATTTAAATTCTCATTTTTCGAGAATAAAGCAAAATTGAATTTTTAGTTGCCTTGTAGAAATTCAAGCATTTCAGTTTTTGCCTTTGAAGGTCCAGAGATCTGCAAGAGTTTGGATTTAAATTCTCATTTTTCGAGAATAAAGCAAAATTGAATTTTTAGTTGCCTCATTAAAAAAATGTGAGACTCACTTAATGATCTTTGTTGGTGTTGAAAAACAAACGAACTTGCTTCGTGGGTACCCCCTTGTGATTTCTAGATTAACTTGATACTATCGAATTTTTATTGATTCCTCAAAAACTAAGCTAGATACACAAATCACACATAGGATAAAAAAGTTGTTATTTCAATAGTTCAATCCAATAATAGTTATTTATTATACAAGGGAAAAAAGTAGTAGATTTTAGCTCCAGGTTGTGTTGTGACAAAAAACCGTGAGCTGAAATCTAAAATTTTTCCCGTGTATAATACACTATTTTTTTTCTGTGGCAGAAGAAAGGACGAATCAATATTGGGAAGATACTACATTATTTTGAAATCTGAAAATTATCGACGTGAAATTTTAAGTTTTTAACAGTAGGGACACCTACGTTGTAGGCACTTTTATCATTCTTTTGAAGTAATCAAATATCTGATGTCACTTCCCTCAGTCTAATTCTGTGATTTGATTTCAAAAAATTGCGAATTTAGTGGTTGTTTAGTAATATACGTAATCGCGATGTCGAATGGAAGATAAAAGGACTTGCAGTTCTTTCTCGGAGACGGTATTATTGACTCATTTTTCGGAACTATAGCACAACAAAGGCCATCAACAGTGTATATATATATGTGATATATATCCGGAAAAAAGTAATTTATGAAAAGTGACATTTCATAACCTGCCAACAGAGATGAAATGCCAAACTTTTTTCCCGTCACAGAAAAAAAAAAATAAAACTCAGAAAAACCGGTGGTGTACAATGACATACACCATAAATATCGATAAAGTTATCCACTGTGACGCCACTGGAAATATTATTTCGGATCTAATTGCACCAGAAGGAGCTCCATATTACTATTAACAAAACCACGTTTTATTAAAATTGATGAAAAGACAATTGAGCAATGAATAAAAAAACGATTTTTCATGGAAATATTAATACCCTGTATCTCGAAAACGAAGCAAGTTAGGACACAAGTTCATTTAAACTTTATTTCGTAAAATACCACAAGAAATCGCCCCTCAATTTTTTTCGGTTTTGAAAGTAGAGGGTTAGATTTGGTTGGTCCACTAAAATTCCCCGATTTCCAGACACACCTCCCGGCCTATAACGCTTTACACCTCGCACTCGACCACGAATAAGAAGAAGAAGAATTCCACTCCGCTTATCGCGAATCTCATGACGGACCTGATGGACCTGAATGAGACGAAACGTCGCTCGATCACCAATCGCACTCAGATTCGAACTGAAACACTGCGGAGGCCGAGCACTTTTTCCATTCCACTCGCTCCTCCGTATAATGCGAAAGAAACGCCGAACATGAAGTGAAAACGCGACTACGAAAAGATATATTCAATAAAGTCGGATTAGGTATATCATTGGATTATAGTAAACACTGGAATGCTCGGATGTAATACAACAAGTGTATTGATGATTATCGGAATACAAAGAATCTCTTCGATTTTGAGAAACAAATTATGGTGAAACTGTATTTATCATGCGATGGGAAAATTTATTTTGGTACTTACGTATTTTTGTCTGAAAAACACGAATGTCTTAATGAAAATGTGAAAAAACCACTATTTATCGAGATATTTCAAGAAAAAGTTCGAAATTACGCCTTATTCTTCCCCTCATGATGTACTTCAATGACACAATTTTATAAGGAAAATTGGTAAAACTGCATTTAGCATGCGATTGTTTTTTTTTCGAAAATTTTTTTTGGTACTCACGTATTTTTGTCTGAAAAACACGAATTTGATAATGAAAATGTGAACAAACCATTATTTATCAAGATATTTCACTATAAAGTTACAAATTTCACCTTCTTTTCCGCCTGTCTTCTGGATTGAATTTAAAACAATTTACCCTTCTTTTTTCATCATTGGACAATTTATATATATCACAATGTAAGACACATTTTTTTCTATTATTGAGTCAACTAGAAATATGATTTTCTTGTGATTTATCCATATTTATTGAAAAGAAGGAAGAATAACATTTGAAATAATGGCGTGTGTAATGTCATTCCAAAGCAATCTATTGACATTTTACATCTCGTATTTGGATTTCCTATGGATAAAATGATCGTCATCTGGTATGCTTGCTCACTAAATAGGAAAAACTCACTATAAAAATCATATTTCCTGTTGAATTTTCTGTATAAAAATGTGGCATTGAAGTACATCATGAGTATATAAAGTGTCCAATGGCAAAATAAGAAGAGCAAGTACCTGAAAATGCATCCAACGCAAGGGGAAAAAGGAGTCGAAATTTCGAACTTTTTTTTGAAATATCTCGATAAATAGTGGTTTGTTCATATTTTCATTATCAAATTCGTGTTTTTCAGACAAAAATACGTAAGTATCAAAAAAAATTTTCGAAAAAAAACCCATCGCATGCTAAATGCAGTTTTACCGGAAAATTCAACAAAAAATATGATTTTTATAGCGAGTTTTTCATATTTAGTGAACAAGCATACCAGATGACGGCCATTTAATCAATAGTCAATCCAAATACGAGATGTCAAATGTCAACAGATTGCTTTTGAATGAAATTACACACGCCATTATTTTTAAAAATATTCTTCCAATAAATACTGTCTGTAGGTTAATCGAGGAGGTGGTACATTCATTATTCCAAATTTTTTGGGATTTTCTTTCCTCGTTTCTATAAAACAAAAATATGAATATCATTTCAATATACGTGTAGTAAGGACAAATCAGATGATTTGCCCCAAAATGTCACTGCGTTTAAAAAAATTTCCTATCAGACAGCCTAAAAGAAAAATTCACTAGCTTGTCAATGACAATTTGTATTGAAAAGAGTTTGAAGAAGAGAAATAAAGGTATATAGAAAGTATATTGAATTTTCACTTATCTTTGGACGTTTTGGGACCGATTCTGCTCCCGTTTTCAACATAAGAAAAGATTATTTTGATAGCAAAGTCGTATCTGTCTTGAAGCTTTTCAGTTTTCATTGACAATTGGTGACGTTGGCAATCATTTGATTGACATCTCTGAGATGTCGCTATGAGGTAACACTGAGATATTACGAATGTTACATCGCTGTGATATATAGAAGCAAACACATCTGCGACATCACGAATGTTCCATCGCTGTGATGTACAAAAGCTAACATATTTGCGACATGACATTTTAAGATGACATGATGAGGCAACAATGTGATATCACGAATGTTTCTTCGCTGCGATCTACAGAAGTGAACTCTCATGCGAGAGTTTTTCTAAAATTTGTTAATTAGTGTCTTGTTTCGTGAAAAACAATACATGAATATACGTTACTCAACATAGTGAAGCTGACTTCGCAAACATTCGTTACATTGCTATCAAACTATTCTTGGTTTGCTTGCATCTCGCCGAAACAAACTACATAATTTTTGATAGAAATACGAGTTACTGATCTCATTGTGATAGAGATTCTTAGGTACCAAGGATAGCGCTGCTGAAAAGACGATTGAATAGACAGGAGACCCGAAGGACCACCAACCAGTCACAACAACACATCTTGCATCACATACTAGTTTTATAGCAGAACAACACATCGCTTTTATATCATAAATACCATATCGCAAATACATTGCAAGAAATTTATCGCTGTTATATCGCAGAGAACTTATCGCACCGACGTCGCATGGAAGAAACTTGAGTGTGACAAAATAACATCCCTTTGGCATCGCAGCGACGTCTTTGCGACATATAATGCGACATCACGAGTCACCATTGTTACATCGCTGCGATATCTCTGTGGTGATGTAACTGTGTTTGCTGGGCACTTGAGTATATGTACCAAAGTTCGTGTTTCTATAGAACGAAAATCCGTATCATAATGACAATGCGTATTGAAATGAACAAGATTAAGAAATCGGTAGCAGATATTCAGTTCGCGTATTATTACAAACAACTTCCATCAAAGATGGTGACAAGAAGAGAGAGTACAGTCCATGATTTGCTACGCTCTTATTGGACCGATTTTTGGAAGTCATTCCAGCGTTTGCTGTAATTCAGTGGGTATCTCTGGTTTCGGTTTCGGTACCAGTCTCACGGTATACGAAATCACCGAAATATTCGTCCGTGTCGGAGATGATGAGAACAATAATTTTTAAGGTGCACGAATCGCACCAAGGTTAGGTCACTCAGGCGATGGCCCCAGTGCCAGGAACGGAAATAGAAAAAAATCAACAGCAAATATGCATTTTCCTACGACCACCTGTGAAAGCAGCATATGAAGCAAGTTCAGTTTTGTTTCAGATTCTGATATATACAGGGTGTTTCATAATTGAATGCTGATCCTAAAGGGCGATAATCCTTGGATGATTTTAAGGAAAATTCTTTATGTGAACATAGGTCCGTAACAGCTTCGTTTCAGAGATACAGGATGTTGAAATTTAACAAAAAAATCAGTTATTCCCCAATATCTCTGAAACCGCTCTGGCTTTTTTCTTCAATTTTGGTACATGCCAAGTATGAATAGAAATAAATTTTTTCCATAATGAAGGATTTCTTAATTTCCATCAGTGGCGTCCCTGTTAACATACCCTGTCATATTTCTCATCAAAATAATAATACGCCACTGTCTTTTTTCCAAATAAATATTATTTTTGTAATTATCCTCTATCTTCTCATAAAAATGATATCTTGTCTTTTTTTCGTCCGGCGAACGGTTTTTGAGTTAGAAAATAAAATGCATTCATTTGCTTGTCCCTATTCGATTTTTACTCTTAGTCATAATTTCACAATTGTGGTAACCAAAAGATCTACGGTTTTAGAGATATTGGGGAATAACTGATTTTTTTGTTAAATTTCAACATCCTGTATCTCAGAAACGAAGCTGTTACGGACCTATGTTCACATGAAGAATTTTTCTTAAAATCATCCAAGGATTATCGCCCTTTAGGATCAGCATTCAATTATGAAACACCCGTATACAGTGCTTTCGTAAAAAACTGAATAAATTCATCACCCAAACTAAACATCCTTACCCCAAACTATCTATATCTGTCTATATCTAAGTCTCCTGAAACAGGTCGATATTAAATTTCAATTTGCCACATTTATAATGAAAACATGAATAATATGCATGGTGATTCACGTTCGAGTACTGACGTCCACGACAGTTTTTTCAAATGAAACACCCTATACAATATTGAATTTAAATTCAAGAGGTGTTTCCTTGTGATATTAGCAAATAAACTTCAAACAAACATCTGCCCTAACTTGCTCCGTTTTTGAGATACAGGATGTTGAAGTTGGGAGTATTAATTGTTTTTATTTATAAACCTCCTGTATAAGCTTTCATGGTGCCAACATTCAGTATGGATGGAGACTGAGAAAGCCATAAAATTTCAAAATGATTCTAATTGGTGTTATAGAGTAATCTCAATGGATGTCTTGAGAACACCTACATTTTGGAGTCAAATCGAATTTTTATTGTTTCCTCAAAAACTAAGCTAGATAAAGAAATCTCATAGATGATGAAAAAGTTTGCATTTTAATAGTTCAATCTGATAAAAATATGAAAGTAAAAAAAACCGGCGGTGTAAAATTACATTCACCATGAATATCCATGAATTTACCCACTGTGACGCCACTGGAAATATTATTTCGAATCTAATTGCACTAGAAGAAGCTCCATATCACTAATAACAAAGTCACAACGTTTTATTGAAATTGATGAAAAGATAATTGAGAAATGAATAAAAAGAAGATTTTTCATGGAAATATTAATACCCTGTATCTCGAAAACGAAGCAAGTTAGGACACATGCTTACATGAACTTTATTGATGAGTTTTTTTTGGAAAATTTTTTGGTACTGACATATATTCGACTGAAAAACACAAATTTCACAATGAACATGTGAACAAACCGTTATTTATCGAGATATTTTACGAAAAAGTTTGAAATTTCAACTTCTTCTGCCACCCATCTTGGATATTCATTTAAAACTACTTTTCCTTCTTCATCCATCACTGGACACATTATAAACTCACGTTGTACTTCAATAATACATTTTATTTCGCAAAATCAACAAGAAGTATGGTTTATTTGAAATTTTTTCATATGCAAATAAGGTAAACAATAGTTTGTCTTTTTCAAAATTTTTTGAAATTTCAAATGAACCATACTTTTTGTTGATTTTAGGAAATAAAATGTGTTATTGATGTACAACGTGAGTAT